AATTGTATTTACCTCTGTTTGAACCATTAAGCTTCTCTGTGTTCGAATATGTGTTACACATCCAAAAATATCAACAGTTTTTTCAAGAGCAATTTGATCCAACATATTATCAATGGCTATGTAAGTTCCGGTTCTACCAACACCCGCTCTATGATTAAAATATTATTTATTATTGGTTTCTTGTATTATATTTTAAATATTTTTTTAATTATTATCTTTTTTAACCCAGATTCAAAATATATTGAATCCAAGACTCTATAGTGATGAATACTTTTCCATTAGAAAAAGTCCAGACATAAGAAATGTTTTATTTTTAATTTCTTATGCATAAATTTGTTTTTTATTCAATACTTTAAACTGCCTAATTTTTTTTATCAGTGCTATAACCTTGTCATTCATGTTTCATAGTAATACTTATACTAAATTTATTTTCTTTTTCTTTTAGATTTTCCTACATAGAAAAAAAATTAAGAAAAATTAGGTTTTTATCTTAATCTCATGTCACAATCAAGCAAGGTATCCGGAAAGAGAAGCTATGAAACTGAAAGAGAAGCTAATAATAAAAGAATTGTAAGGTACTATTTAAACGTTGTTAATGGTAACAAAAATATAACTTTTAAACACTTTAAATATGAAGAAATACCTAAAAGAACAATTTATTTGATAATTAAAAAAGTGGCTATAATCTTTTAAAAGCTCGAAAAAGTCAGAGAACTGAAATTAAAAAACCTAATACTTTTCAAAGTACAGTAAGTCAATATTTTAAAAAAAGCAACTTGTAAAAATTAGCAGAGCCTCAAGAAATTTAGTAACAAATTCTATTGTTGGAAAAAAATAGACAAAAAAGACAGATGATGAAAAATACATTTACAACACAGAAATAGCAGGTAATGATGGGTATTATACAGATTGTAAAAGTTCGGCTCCTGAAACTATTGAATACAAAAAAAAAAAAAAAAAAAGTCTAGATCAGGATTTCCAAAGATGGTATCATGGTATCTTAGAACCATTTATACAAAAATTATTTCAATTGATGTTGAGCGCTATATCAATAAATGTTTGAGAGTAAATGAATTCCATTTATTAGATCAATGTATAAATGAACACAAATATTTTGGCCAAACTTAGCTAGTGCTCATTATGCAAATGAGGTCATCGACTTCATGAAAACTAATAACGTCAAATTTATTATAAAGATGATAATCCTAAGGATGGTCTGCAAAAACAAAGCATCAATTGAACAGATACATGAAATTTTTTTAAAGATAATTCAATTTAAATGACTAACAATGTCATATAGAGAAGGTAAACTATAAACTTCCTAAAATAGCGGATCATGACTCTTGTAGCATTATAAAATAAATATTTTTAATTTACAATAACTAAAGTTTATTTTTATTTAACAATTAATATTTACTATAATTATAGCTAGCTATATTTATAGTAAATATTACATTTGGTTGTTTACTATAATAAAGCTAGTAAAGTAGCTTAAATTTAATGTTTTGCAAAAACTTAATTCAATTTATATTATAATTTTTGTCATACATTTCATAACAAATTATAATTTAAAGTTAATATCCTTAAATTTAATTATGTAAATTGCATTATATTAAAGCAATAAAGGATATTTGTTTATGAAGTAACTTTTATCTGTACAAAGATAAGTCCAACTTCAAGAATACTGAGACTCAGAAGCACTCTGCAATTCCTAAAAGTTAGTTTCCAATACTGACATCTCCTCATATGCAAATAAAGTTTAACTTAACATTAAAAAACTTTTATTAGAAGAGAAAAAAAATCCTTACGAACAATGTAAAACAATTGGTCCAGAATTTTGGTCAGACACAGATCTTACACGTTTAACGAACTGTAAAAGTGGAGTACCAAATTGTGGTACCCCATGGTCAGGCCAACTCAAAAATTGGTAGTGCATGACTAAACGAGTCTTTTGACGATCAAATTTTATCTAAGAAAACAAATAATCATTTTTCATAAACAAAGAATATATACATAAAAATGTTGACAGGCAACATACACGAAATTGTAGCCAGGCAACATACACAAGAATAAAAACAATTAAACTCCTTTTTAAAATTTTGTATAAAATACTCAAAATTTTAAATATTAACTAATTTTAATTTATTCATAAAAATTTTTTATAACTTCATTATTATTCATTCATAAATGTTAACAAAAAAAAAATAGTATTAATAACTTTAAAAAAAACTCACATGATAAACTTTGAATCTCCTGACTATGTAATCTGCTAATTCAGTTTCATCTACAATCTCAACATTAATGTCTCCATAAATTTCAAACTTATCATTGATGTTAGGCCAATACTTTTGGCACTTTATCTAAGAATTTTAATTCAATATGATTTAAAAGGTTCTAACCTTTATTTTTAAACATTTAATAAAAGTAGTTTATCTTAAAAATTTTATAAAAAGCTAAAAAAAATTTTTTGTTTTAAACAAATAGTTATATCTAATTATAATTAATTAAAAGTTATATCTAATTATATATAATTAAAACAAATGATAAAAAATAAAAATAAAATAATAAACAATAAATAAAAAGGTTTAAAAAAGACTCTTACTCTGCTTTTTTCAACAAAATTCGTAATCATGACGATTGTTTCGGTGTTTTGCTCCCAAACCATTCTCCAAAAATCTTTAAATGCTGCTTGGACTGGACCTTTTAACAATATAACAGTTACAAAATAACTTTTGAAATTTATTTATAAAATTATATATATTTAAAATAAAGCCGGGCCATTTAATTGATAAAAAATTTAACTTAACAATTTTAATTGATAATAAAAATACCTCTGCTGAAAATAAATTGAATTTATTAACCAATTAAACATTTAATTTTACTCAAACCTCTGTTTTTTAATTGATTGAGAAAATCTACCTATTATCTTTGTATTTGAATATTATTTATTATTTGAACAATATTATTAACGTTTATTACTTTTATTAATTACTTTCATTGCAAGTTTTTGTTTAAAAAAGGCAAAAGTTTTTAATTAAAGAAGACAAAGGTCATTTAAAATATTATAATAAACTAGCAGACTGGACCCAAAAAAATATATGTCTTTGTGCACCTATTGCACGCCAACCTTTTCTATACTTTTTCCTTTTATATGTATGTATGTATGCATGCATGTATGTATGTATGTATGTATGTATGTATGTATGTATGTATGTATGTATGTATGTATGTATATATGTATGTATGTATGTATGTATGCAGGCGAGAGGGGAGAAAAGCTCTCCTAAAACGAACTTGGGGAGAAGTGCAAGCTGCTCCTCAATTAAACCGACGCTCTTTTTTAATTCTAATTTGTTTTTGCAACAACTATGCCTTTTAAAAAGCATTTCAGTATATTATGCAATTAATTTTTTTTTATGACATTGTGTTTTTTATTTTATTTAAAATAGAAAAATAATACTTTTGCGAGAGCCGTATATAGCTCTTGTAAACCATTTCAGGGAGTATGGGCAAGAGCTAAAGCTCTCGCTTCCGCCGAGGCCTGATGTATGTATATATGTATGTGTGTATGTATATATATATTTATTTTGTATGAATTATATCCTAGCTATTCAGACCCATAAAATAAAGGTCTTCACCAAACTTACTATTTCTATACTTATCTATTCCACACCAATCATATCTTTACTTATTCCTTATTTACTTCAATTTTTAGTAGACAAGGTGGGTTTAAACTTTCAGTTTCTGAAAGTTTAAACCCACCCCTTAGCATAATACATTTTTCAATTTTTTCAATCTTGCCGTAAAATTATGTCTAAATATATATAAAGTCAAAAAAGACTTATAATAGGAAAAAAATTTTTAAGTTTTCTTATGTACTATATATGATCAATCCATATACCCTATTTAATATATTATACATATATTATACACGATTGATCCATATACCACCTGCAAAATCAATTTATACTAAAGACCTTATGTTTGTTCTTGTGTACTACACTTGTACTAAACCGTTCTACACTTACAGATGTTTGGACATAACGCTATCCAAATGGAATTTTTACATTTGCGCAATTACATATATATTTACATTTCTGTAATACTTCCATATAAAAACACGCTGAGAGACTCTTTCTCACAATTACCTTGCCAACATAAAATAACAAAAAAACATAAAATAAACATAAAATATAAAACTACCTTGTGTTGCAATGAACTTTGATTTACGAGTGTAACCCTACAAAATTATTTTTAAATTAGCATGTGTTTTACCTATTATAATAAAATTATATACTTTTTATAATTTATTAAAAAAAAACAAAATTGAAATAATATAAAACAAAATAAAAAACAATGTATGGAATATGCGACCTTTAATTTTTTCAGAAAGAAAGGCTGGCATAGATGTTTTATTAAAATGTTAACTATTAATAGACAATATGGCTAGTGTGATGTTAGACAATATGTATGTGTGATGTTAGACAATATGTGTGTGATGTTAGACAACATGAATGGTGTGATGTTAGACAATATGTATGTGTGTGATGTTAGACAATATGACTGGTGTGATTTTAGACAATATGTATGTGTGTGACGTGAGACAATATGTGTGTGATGTTAGACAATATGACTGGTGTGATGTTAGACAATATGTATGTGTGTGATCTGAGACTCATTCTTAAATCATAACTATCATTTCTTTGAGTAGTAAAAATAAAAATAAAAGATTTATATATTTCACTAAGCTTTTAATTTTTTTAAATCACTCATTTAAAACATATTTTTTTATTATATTTAAGATATTTTTATTATTACTATTTTCAATTTACTTATTAAATTATATTTAATTTTTATTTATTTTATACCTCCAATCTTTTAAAATTAACATATTTATATCAGGTATATTTATATATTTATATAAGGTACATTCATTTTATACTTCCAATCTTTGAAACAACTGTGAATTTATGTGAATTATCAGTGTTAGCTTCAATTAGTTTATTATCATTTATCTATTGTACTTTTTTAAATCAATTTATTATTCATTTTTATATGTTAAAAATGTAATTTTAATGCATAACTTTGTGTAACTTTTAATAACAAAAATAAAACATAAATAGAATTATTGTCACCCTTAGATTTTAGAAAACCATTTCAAGGTTCATTTCAATAATCATATAGAAATTGTATACAATCATATAGTAATTGTATATAAGCATATAGAAATTGTATACAAGCATATAGAAATTGTATACAAGCACAATAATAATACAAGCAAAAGTCACTATTATAATAACAGATCTAAAGCGTCTGCATTTTCTTGTATTCTCCAGGAAATCTGATTTGACATGGTAAGAAACAATAACTATAAATTTATACTATTTCTACAAAATTTTATTAAAATTTTGTTTTGTATTGGATTTATGAAATAAACTTTGTTACTGTTTTGTGCTGTTTTGTATTGTATCATTTTGAGACGCAGATGTCTAACAGATCTTACTGCAATTAATGGACTTTCATTTGTTGCCAAAAGTAAAAGACTACCTAAATTTGTTTTAGCAAACGAATATAAAATTCCTGTTAGTTAACAATAAGGAACATTTTTTATGCCAAAGTCATTTTATTTCAAGCAACATTAAAATTATTTTCATTAATCCAACATTAAAATTATTTTCATATTAATTATTTTATTGTTATAATTATTACATTATTATATTTTAATATTTTATTAATTTTATAACATTTAAAGTTTTGCAACCTCATTTATCTATTAATCTCATTTATTTAAAAACAAAAATACAAATGTCAATTACGTAAATTTAAAACACTTTCGTACATCAATATAATTAGCGTTGACATAGTCAGAACCTTCCAAATTTTCAACTGTATTAAGAACCACCCGAGAATGATCATCTAAAAATATTAAAGAAAAATTTATACATATATTGTTCCAGGGACTGTTAATACTGTTACTAATAGTTAAAAATAACAAAATCTTACATGCAAGAATATTTGCATATCTATTTTTACACTTATTTTCAGGACGCATGCTAATTTCAAATGTAAAATCTCCTTCCGGTTTAATAGACTAAATAAAAAAAACAAAAAATGTTGGCTTTAAGGAAACATTTAAATAAACACAAACTTTTAATAAATATAGACAATATCACAAAAGTGACAGAATTCAGGTGCCCATGCATGATAATAACTTTAATTTATGCTAAAACTAAAAAATTCTGTACAACCTTTCAAGAGTTAATTTATATATTTCTTTTTGATTCATGAAAATTGAATGCAGGCTTTGCGATAAATAAAAAATGTGTAAGGCATAACTGTTAAGTGATTTGTAACAACATTGATATCTTTTAATTTGCTTATAGTATGTATAAACATTAATTTTTTGAAACTACCAAAATTTACTAGATTATTGAATATTATTTTTATTTTTTATAGATTATTTTTTTTATAGATTATTTTTTTTATAGATTATTTTTTTTATAGATTATTGAATATTATAATTATACTATTTTAATTATAAATTTACTCAAAAAATGTAGAAATTTTAATTTATAAAATATATATTAAAATAAATTTATATTAAAATGTCATGAAATGTTTATTTTGCGTATAATTTTTAAAATACAAAATGATTTATATCTTTCTCAGTTTGATACAATCCTTCTTTGTTCAACTAATTTAATCACCTGGGTTACAGAATTTCAACTTCAAAAGTTTTATTCCAAAAGACTTTAGTAAAAATTATTTGTCTTCATGCTTTTTAACCCTTGTTAACCATTAGTAAAAAGTTAGAATACCTTATCTTTCAAATAAACTAAAAAAAAGTTCTGATAAAAATGAAAAAAAAAAGTTTGAGTACTACATTTATTAAAAGAATACTAAGCACAACAAAACCTGTAATTACCCTGTAAGTAAACCTGTAATTTAACCTGTAGATAAATTTTTGTGTACTAATTTGATACTGCACAATTTGTTAATTACTTAAACCTGACTTTAAAAGGAAACTTATTTTCTTATATAATTCTTGTAATTATAAATTTAGATATTGCAAAAGCTACATTTTTATTATATATATCTTATATAGGCTAGTTTATTTCAAGCATGTAACACTTAACAACTTGTAACAAATGCTGTGTAAATTAAAATATTAATTGACTAAGTTGAGAGTGTTATCACTTAGCTAATTGTTATCATTTAGCTAATTGATTTTTATATGCTTTTATTTGTAAACTCAATGCTTTTTTTAAATTAAAAGAAAGAAATATTTTTGTTTTAGCTATAAAAAACTAAGAAAAATATTTTTTATTTTCATTTTTTTTGTTTTAATTCACTTTCCAAGGTCATAAAGGCCACTACAGTTGAGTAGGCTACTTTTAGTTGTGTTTACAACACTCTCTCAACTTTATAACTCCAAAACTTAAACTTTGACAAACAAGGCCGCTGCGCGGAGAAACAAGTTGAGCGTGGCACTACTAGGGTCATGGTGGAGATCAAACTTGGGACTTCTTACTTATGAGGCAAGCACTTTAACACTACACCACTACTGCATAAAAAACAAGTTAAATTAAAAAAAAAGCATCTAAAACAAGTTAATTTAAACAAATTAAATTTTAAATTTACAGAAAAAACTTAAAAAACTTAAACAAAATTTAATTTAAAATGTTTTTCTTTTCATAATTTTTTAAATAGTTATATTCTTATCTCTTGTGGAATTCAATATTTTCATACTGAATATACTTATTTATTTAATTAATTTATTTATTTAATAACTGTGTACATGTACAATGACAATGTACGGAGCCTAGTTGATCTAGGCTTTAACAGCCGATTTATGTTAAAAAGTCCAACTTTGATTTAAATTGTTTTAGAATCTTAGAGTGTTTTAGAATCTACATATATATAAGATAAAACCCAAAATTCATCAGTATAAATAAGTTACTAACCCGAAATTCATCAATAAAACCTTTATCTCTATTTGCATGTTGCTTCAAGACATAATCTTTGAGTGCAGAGACTGATATTGGTTTTAATGGTGCAAATGTTCGCTGGAGACTTTGAGCTAAAAATTACATCTATCTAAAATTTAGTTCAATATATTGTAACAATAAAATAAATTTTTTAGTTATTTTAGATAAATGTGGACAAATTAGGAAATGTGTTTTAAAAATGCAATCAATTTTGGTATAACATCTATGGATAAACTAGAAAATAAGAAAAACAAGTGACAAGCAAACACCAGTTTTAATATATCAGCAAAACCAATATAAACATGCAAAAGTAAAATATAAATAAAATTTCTTGTGTTTCTTGTGCTTGAGTATTAAAAATATAAGGAATCCCACACCTTAGCAACCTCCTCAAAGTTCTTTTACTATATCCTGTAGTTCTCAGCTGTTGTTGAAAGAAAAACATAAATGGATGTTTGGAAAGCACCTTAAGCCCTTTTTACTACACTAATTATAACATCATACAAATCATGACATCATCTGCTTTACTCATGGACCAACACAAATTTCAGAAATGTATTTGAGGTGTTGTAAGCTTCAAAAAATTGCTTGTCTATGCTTGCGTCTAGAATTCTCATAAGTAGCTTCATCAAAACCTAATATGGAGAGGTAGAAGCAAAATCTTTCTTTGAAAATAAATTAGCTACTCATACTAAATATTATCCCAATCTTGTCTGATGAAGTGCTGAGTATCATTTTTGCAGTCCCAAAGACATGTTTTTTTTTGCATCCACCATGGAGGCCCGATATAAAAGCAAGCATTTTCCATATACTATGCTAGCACATATACTAGTTATATTAGATGAAGTAATCACCTGGAGTAAAATCATGGCATTGTAGTTTTTCTTCATGTGCATAAGTGTGCAACAGGAATAGAAAAGTGTAGACTGTGATTCTGAAGGAGTATCATTTTCAGATATCTTGAGGAGGTATTTATAAATGGCTTCCACTTTTCTAAACAACATTTCATCATAGAGTACTATGCAAACAGTACAACAACAGCTATGCAAACAGTACAACAACAGCTATTCAGTGAAACATTCATATTCATTATACAAAACTTGCACATGCAGCATACCTGCTACAAGAAACAGAAATCTTACATGCGAGATCTACTCACTCCACTCCTTCATCTCTACTCAAGTTATCAACTTCTTACTGATCCTTGTTTATCCTTAGATATATATTTATATAAATACCTACTATTTTAAAGTAAAACTAAATAGAACAAAAGATCTAGAAATATGAATTATACCATTGCAAAAATCAATTATGCTAAAAATAATAAAAGAAACATGGAAATAACCAGCAAAAAAATTTTTGTTATGTAATGTTATCAACACAATAATTTATTATAATTTATAATAATTTATACCATATTCACTTGGTATAAAACTATTGATAGAGCTTGAATGCTGCATTGACTCTAAATCATTAACTGGTAAGCAATCAATATTAGAGAGTTTCAAAATTGATTGAGAAGTTTCTGAACATTTTCTTTTCAATCGCCTCTTTCTAAAATTATATGAGAAAATTAAATTATGTTTACATATATGTATATAAGTGTGTGTGTGTGTGTGTGTGTGTGTGTATATATATATATATATATATATATATATATATATATATATATATATATATATATATATATATATATATGTAAATAATAAATTATAAATAACTTTTTCAAAATTTTTTTAGCTGACATCTTTTATATTACATAATATAAATGATGATATAATTTATTTACGTAATGTAAATAAATAAAAAATATCCTTTAAAAGGTACATTTTCAATAGCGTACAGTGTGTTTTAATAATAATTTTTTTTTTAGTAATGTAAGGCATTATAGGATTAATATTTGGGCAAACATTACACAGAAACAATATAATTTTTTAAAAATATAAGTGGTTGTGGGATTGATATTTGAACAAACATAAGTTATTTTTGGTATCTAATATTTAGCTAATAATATTGTATTTTGTAATATTAGCACAATGAATTTGTTTATTTTAAAATTGATTGAAAACAGTTTACAGAAATAGCTTTCTTTAACTGCAAGTTTGAAAAATAATTTTTAAGCAAGTTTCCAATTTTAAAGAAAAAAATATATATAGCATAAGAACTTATAATTAATTTATTAAAGTAAAAACAGTAAAGAGAATGTTTTATAATGCTAAAGGGGAGACCAGTGCTAGTTGCAACAGAAGCAAATAGCGTACCATTTTGGTGACATCTGTTTGTTTGTTCGAATATCAATCCCACAACCACTTACTTTTTTTAAAAAATTATATTGTTTCTGCGTAATGTTTGCCCAAATATCAATCCTATAATGCCTTACATTACTAAAAAAAAAATAATTATTAAAACACACTGTACGCTATTGAAAATGTACCTTTTAAAGGATATTTTTTATTTATTTACATTACGTAAAAAATATATATCATCATTTATATTATGTAATATAAAAGATGTCAGCTAAAAAAAAATTTGAAAAAGTTATTTATAATTTATTATTTAAAAAATCTAAGCTGCATTTTTTTTTTTCAGTTTTATTGTAAAGTAAGAGAGTTTAAACAAAATAAAGTAATGGATGATAAAAAAAAATATTTAATCATATAATTAAAATCATATCTTTTATAATTAAAATCATAAAAGAAACATAAAAAAAACTTGAAAAAAACATTTAAACTTTAAAACGACATCTTATAAAGAGTTTATTTTTTTATAATTAAAAAAAAAACTTCTTCCATGTATATAACTCTATTATTAATTTTTGCTTGAATTTACACTTGAGGCAGTATAACTCTTGCATGGTCTTCATTTATATTTGTAAGTTTTATTTTGCAAAAAATATTAGTTTAGAAAAATAATTTTAGTTTAGAAAATTAATTTATTAATTTTAAATTTAATTAAAATAATCTATTAATTTTAAGTTACATCTGCTTTAAATAACTAACAGATTGCGGTAGTAATGTAGTGGTAGAGCGCTCGCTTCATAAACGAGTGGTTCCGAGTTCGATCCCCACCACGTCCTTGGTAGTACCGCGCTCAACTCGTTTCTCTGTGCAGCGGCCTTGTTCGTCAAGGTTTGTGTTTCGGAGTTATAGAGTTGAGAGAGGGTTATAGCCACAAAATAAGTAGCCTCCTCATCTGTAGTGGCCTTCTCGGCCTCGAGGAGGTGAAGTAAAATAAAAAAAAAAAAAAAAAGATTGTGCAATATCAAAAAAGTGAAAACAGAAATTTCTTTATAATCCAGAAAGAATTTTGAATAAAAAAGTTATTTAAATAAAAAAATAGATTCCTTTTTTTTTTTTTTTTTCTATTCCTCATTTTCCTATTCCTATTCCTCATGTTATAACTTAAAACACTGCATTATAAATATTCATAAAGCCAGGTATAAAAATTCATAAAGCCATAAAGGCAAGTTAAAGTGCAATGGCATATTTTAAAACTTGAAAACTTAAATCTTTGTCACAAAAAAAAGCGATGATAATATAAATTAACTTGAGTTTTTTTGCAACAAGTAATATTTTTGTTTGTAAGTAAATTTTTAAAAATAAAAAATCATTGTTTGCAATTTCAAGAAACAATGAAAAAAAATATTTTAATATTTTAATTCCTTTATACATCAAGAAAAAAAAAGAAATTATTTTATATTAAATGATAATAAAAAATGTAATATTAAATTCAATTATTTAATATTAACAAAAAAAAATTAAAACAAAATAGACATTCCACAATATGTACATTTAGAAAATAACACTTCTAGATTTGTTTTTATTAATTAGTAAAATAAAGTTGTTCTGCGGTGATTTATTTTAATGCAGTGATTTATTTTATTGCGGTAGTTTAAAAAATTAATGTCCTTAAATTAAAAACAAAGATAACTTTATTAAGTCAAAATCACAAAAGCTAATGAGCTAAGTCGTTTATTATCTCACATTTAAGTTATTTTATTGGCATTTGGTGATTGAGAACATTACCGAACTAAAAAGAAACCATTGTTTTAAAAATATCCTGGATAAAGTAGTAAAATTGACTATAATTAGTGAAATTGAATAATCCATACTCTATTAGATTCATAATCAAATTTAAAGAACTAACAGGCTCCAATAGTTGAAAGTTGTGGTAAGTGCTAATGGTGACAAGCTAGTTTAATTTTATATTGGTATAGGCAGTTGATAAGCAACTAATCTTATCAATATTAACATCAGCTGGTTTGACCGAAGTTAAAGTCACCATAACTCAGTACAATTTTGCATTTGTGTGATAAAAGAAGCATCTTGGAATTCTTATCAAATGGATCTGTCAGAGCTATTAGTAAACCATGTCTAACAGATGAAAACAATGCATGGTATGAAGTTATTTGTCTTGGAACTCTGAGTTCATACTATTTCTGTTTCATATTATTACTAGATAAAGAGCATGGATTATTAGACCAATGTTTCCCACAACTGTAATAAAGTGCTAGTTTTTAATAGATGTTGAATGTAATTTAGTTTTTAATTTAGTTTGAACTTTTTTTCTTTTTTAAATTCTGATTCAATCCAAACAAATCTGCAAGCAACCACTTTTATGTTGGGAATTACTAGAAAACAAAGAACAGAGTTAAAGAGAAAAGGAAAAAAAAATCGATGACAAATGAATGGAGTGAGGGCAAAAAATTTAGAAAAATTAAATTTTTAGACCATGCAGAGACAGATACAGTAAAAGGATGTGACTTTGAATGATGAATCAAGCAAGAATGAGTTTTGATTGATGAAACTAGAGATGATACTTCTTTTGAGCTATCTATCTTTGAGGTTTGAGCGACCATGATAGTATTTATAGAAAATTAAAGAAATCCAACTTTACAACCATGAGAAATAGGCTCAAGTTTGGCAGATAGCACAGGCAGTGATGTGTGTTTATCTTGTTTAGTTTTATTCAAAGATAAGGAGTCGATTTAAAGGCATTTCTTTGAACACATGAATTTACAGGTGGACGTAACCATGTTACTTTAGTTACGCTAAGAAAACTATTCTACTTAAGAATTTAATAAACGCTTTTGTTGCAATTACCACATTATTTGTAAATAATTATTGAAAACTGTTTAAAGTATTTTAAACATTTATTGACTATATTTTAGAATATTTAATTTTAGTAGATATTGTTTTAAATAATTAGTAACTAAATGTTTAAATACTTTAAACAATTTTTAATCAATATTTATATTACATAATATATTTACATATATTAAATCACATAACATTTGTAAAATTAACAAAGTAGTTTTATGTCTTGTATTCAAATAACTGAACAAAAAATATAAGCATTTAATAAACGTATTTACTATTATTTTAATTTTAAAATTTTAATTTAAATACTAGAATATCTGTTCATTTAACTTTTACTAAAGATAAATAATTTTTAAAGTGATTTTAAGGCATCTTTTAATGTAAAGATAATTAAAGAAGAGATAATTACGGTAAATATAATTTAAACAATGTAATTTTTTTTTATTAAAAAACATATATTTTAAAAAGTATATTATATTTTTGTATTCATCAAGCATAATTTTAAAAAATTACATTTTATAAATGTTACATTTACTATGGAATTTTTTAAACATTAAAGACATTGAAGTTTAAAAATAACTAGATCTTAATAGAACATTTATTAAGTTAGTGTAATTGTTATTTACTTATTTTTAGTTTAAAAAGATTATGGAAAAGAAACAAAACTTTTTAAAAAAGTTTACATTTCGTTTTTTTTGTTTTTCTTAGGTAAACTAAAATAGCAGGCTATTTTTATATTATAAAGGTCAAAAGTTCACTCATTTAAAAGTTCATTCATTCAAAAATTAAATTTGCGCAACAGTTATTAAGACTGAAATTTTTTAGTTTTGTTCATTTATTATCAAAAGCAGTTCACTCTTGATTGCCAACAAACAAAAAGCAGTTCACTCTTGATTGCCAACAAACAAAAAGCAGTTCACTCTTGATTGCCAACAAACAAAAAGCAGTTCACTCTTGATTGCCAACAAACAAAAAGCAGTTCACTCTTGATTGCCAACAAACAAAAAGCAGTTCACTCTTGATTGCCAACAAACAAAAGTTAACTTTAATCTGAATCTTTGCTGGAGTTGAAAATGTTGAATCTACAATGCATAATAATGAACTTGACTCAGGTACTCCAATTTTCACCATCTTTAAATCCATTAAATAAACAATTTACTTTTTAGGCATTTAATATTATTTTTCTATAAATTGTCACTTTTTATGACACTCATTACATACACTTATTATTTTTTATTAAGCTAATGTTAATCATGATTTTTTTTTTCCTAGATATAATTCTACATGAAGACCCTGCTTTATGGCCATTACAATTAAAGGAAAATGAACATATGAAGTATTTAAACATGCTATGGGGTATGCTTTTTTTCAAAATAAAAAATCTTATTTCGAATGTTCAAAAACCAGTATAAATATTATTCAGTTAAATATTTTCAAAAAGTGAAAAAGTGATGAATAATGGCAGTGTGACCGAAAATGGTTAATGTTTTCTGGATCCACTGGTTGTGTATTTTGTTATTTTTGCAAATTGTTTTCAACTGATTACAACAATGTATTTGTCAAAAATAGTTTTTACAATTGGAAAAAAGCTAAACATACTATTTTTGGCCACAAAAACAGCAAGGAATATTTTCAACATATGATTAAATGGATAGAACTCATAAAACAAAATATTCATATCAATATATATAGTAAGCCAGATTAAAGGTGAGATTAATTATCGGGCTGTAATCTTAAATAGAATTGTAGAAGTTATTTATTTTTTAGCCGGAAGAGGTTCAGCAATTTGAGGTCATAATGAAGTTATAAGATTGTCAAATAACAGAAATTACTTAGGCATGTTAGAACTGTTAACTCAATTTGATCCAGTTTTTAAGGAAAACATTTTGCAAATAAAGGCAATATATCTTATTTGTCTTAAACTATTTTTGAAGAGCTAATTAAAATTATGTCTCAAAAGGTTTTAATGCACATTAGCAAAACAAAAAAAGAAAAATACTGAAATACTCTACGCCTGAAATTTCTCACATGGATCAACTTTCTGTGATATTTCGTTATTATCTTAATGTCCACGTGTATGAGCAATTTTTTTGTTTTCTACAAATTAAAAGCCACAAAGGTAAATCTTTGATTGCTGACATTTTAGATCAACTGGAAAAATATCGTGGACAGACTTGATAATGCAAGCAACAACATGTAAGGTAAATATTCTAAAAAAAAAAGAGCAGAGTGAATTTTATCCCCTGCGCTGGACATTCTTTAAACATAGTAGGGCAGTGCAGTGTCAGTGAGTACATCAACTCTATCAACTATTTTGGCGTTCTGCAGAGTTTGTTTTTATTTTTTGTAACTTCAACACACAGAAAGGAAAGCATGCTACACTCAAGAGCTGATCAGATACGTGATGGTCATTATGTCAGATTCTTAAAAATGTTTAGTAGAAAATTTTGATATGATTCATGCAGCATTATGTCTTATAGTTGAGGATACAGAAGATAAGTCTGATACTCGTCACGAAGCTGTGTGTTTATTAAATAAAATCAGTAAGCTAGAGTTTGCATTCATGGCTGTACTTTGTACTTTTGTACTTTAGTACATGGCTGTACTAGAGTATAAGTATGTGATGCCAAAGTACACTTTGGCATCACATACTTCTGAGGTTTAATGAAGTTAGCAAATTTTTTTCAAAAAGTTGAATTAGATTTGCATTAGATTTGAAAAAGATTTATAGAGATCATTGCATGGCCGGAACCACCTAGAAAGGAACAAGGAGAAACTGAATACAAGTATGGGTCAGAGACAAGACAAAAATCAAGGAGTGAAGGTAAGTGATTAGGGTTGTCTAGAAAACGAGTCACAAAGTTAACTATGAGTATGAGATTGAGAAATGCAGAAGTTATGGCCTTTAGTACTAGCAGCGTCAGTGGTGTTAGAACCATTTAGTGTAATGAGCATTAAAGTCACTAATAATCACAAAGATTAAAATTAAAGATTAAAAAATTAAAATTAAGATTAAAGGTCTCACAAAGAGCAAGCAAGTCTTGTGAATCTTGCAAAAGGTAAGGTAATTTCAAATCTAATGCAAACAAAATATTAGACATAAAAATCTAGGTTTTTTATGTCTAATATTTTGTGTTACTTTGGGCATGATTTAAGTTAAAAGAGAACTTGTTTTCTCAATTAACCTAAAGTCATAACTTCGGGCTCTCTATATGACCTCAACAATGCACACCAAGCATTAACAGGGACACCATCCATCCGCAACATGGCACTGTTAATACAATGATATTTTACAGCTGTTGATGGAATCAGCCTCTTTGAGAGCTAACATCGAGTTAGGAAAACCTTACTACCAGCTGACCTCAGAACCATTAAACAAAGTTTTAGAGCTGTACCCATATTAGGAGATAACAGGAAGAGTTTCATATCAAGTAGGTACAAGCAAAAATCTATGAGTAAAGTCAAAAAGATCATTCATCATCCTAGGCAAGAAGCAATGTAACACAGGTTTACATCAACCCCAGCCTAATAAATGAAGAAGAAGTTCGAGGCTGGTCAACAGAATCATTCTGTTTACCCCTTAAGTTTTTGACTAGGAGGCCTTCTATTAGATAGTAGCTGGATAAAGTTAACATCTGCATAAGATGAGAATTTTTATCAAGACACTATCTCTAGCCTTTACTCAAACAAGAGATCCAAGGAAGAAATTTTAGCTGGATGCAGTTAACATCTTTCCAATATGAGTAATTTTATCAAGACAGCATCTCTAGCCTTTACTCAAACAAGAGCCCCAAGGTGATTTGGAGTTGGAGTTTATTTCTTTCAGATTTAGTCTTAAAAAAGCAAACCTAACAAGGCAGCAGGGCAAGGAGCAGGTAGTACTGAGTTACATGATACTAGTAGCAGAGTAATTGTAATGATCCTGAACCTAATTATGGAAATCAATGTTCTATTATACTTACATTTTATATACATTTTCAATCTTTTTTATATATTTTCAATACTTCGAAAAAACATGAATTTTTAAAAACAAGATATTGCTTTATTTTCAATTAATCTATATACCCTACTTACAGAATTTCTTTATTGAAAATTTTATTGAAATTTTTTATCTGCTTATTTATTAATTTAAACTGTGAACCTTTATGAAAAGTATAATGACAAATTTGCCAATTTGCCAAAACCTGCTAACTTTTGATAACTGCTTTCCATAAATACAAAGTAACTGTTTGAGACAATCAAGACAACTGTTATACCTTCTTTCACTAAAATAACTCCATTACTTTCTTTCTTTGCTAAAATAACTCCATACTTTCTTTCACTAAAATAACTCCATACTTTTTTTCACTAAAATAACTCCATTAAAATTATGCTAGCTTCTTTTACTAACCAACGAACTGTGCAAAAGATTTGCAACTAAATAAACAATTGTTTTTAATCGGCTAATTACTAAACTAAAAAATTTAAATAAAAGTAAACAAATATAAATTGCACAACAATCTGTATTTAAATAAATACATTTAATTTGTGCTGTATAACAAACCAGAATTACATAATGGCTGATATTTGTTAAAACCAAACCATTGTGATAATCTGATTCACTGCACAACACAGCTACAACAGTCTTTTTATTTAAAATTGATAAGATGCTTAGTTGTTTTCTTGTAAAAACGTTTTTTACAAAAACTTTTAATATAGATGTTCTACATATCGAATGGCATATGTGTCACAAAAATTAATTACTATAACAACTAATTATAGCAAATAAAGAATTTAAAGTTAATTTGAAACTAATAGAATTTAAAGTTAAACAAGTCAAACCTGATTGAGAATATATAAATTACAGCTGACAACATAATTAATGCTACCACAGAAAAAACACCTCCATAAATCTGTCCAGTATTTGAACTTGTGGCTGTCTGAGCAGAAATTTCTATAGAAGTACCTATATTCACCAAAACAAGAACATGAATTATTTCTCTTCATTATTTATCCATATTTAAGTCCCCTAAAAAATACTCCCTGCAATATATTTGAAATAATTCTTTTTTTTTTTAAATTCTTTTTAAAAAAAAGTTAAGTAAAACTTTAATTCAAGTAAAATTTTAAGTTGGTAAAATTTTAATGATTAGACTCAGATAAAATTCAGTCTCAGTTAGTCAATTTTTAATGGTCTCAGCTAAATACTAATAGTAAGTCTCAGTCAAACTATAATAGTCTTAAAACTTGAGGATAAAAGATTTTTTACAATCAAATGTTATTTCATTTAAAAAAAATTAATTAAATCTATATCATTCCAAAAACATCGAAAAAAAAAATCCAAAAATAAAAATAGACATCAAAATAAAATCTATAAGATTTTTTTGAGTGAACAAATTAAAACCTGTCTTTATGTCAACTTTTAAAATATTTTAATTAATAATTTTAGTTATAGTATGTTTAAAATATTTTAATTAATAATGTTAGTTATAGTATATGTTTAAAATATCCTTTGTACCTCCAACTGCTTTAAACATTTAATAGTATATTTAATGATAACTTTTTTTTTTGTGTGTGTGTGTGTTTTTTTTTTTGCAAATATTTAGAAATAATAAATGAAACTTTTTATTTTATATTTAACATTTTTTTAACTTTTTTAAATTTCAATTTTGAAATTTAATTGCCAGGTAATGTTTGCGTTAAAAAAAAATTGTATTCTTATTTTTATATTGTTCTTTCTTCCTTAATTTGAGATCAGAGTGAACTTTTATACAAAATAGTAGACTAGAGCCATGACAAATGTATTTATTGGAATTAAGAAAAAATATTTATCTAACTCTACAGGCATAAAAACTTCACTAGCTTTAAGAATAAATATTAGGAATAATATACTCAAATAAATCATACTTTTACAAATAAATAATACCTGGCAAGGTTTTAAATCTAATTGCATTGGAAGGAGTTGAATAAAATTTACTAGAAAAAGCTTTCACAGAAACTGTATACTCAGCACTATCCTTTAAATTTAAAATTGTGTGATAGAACGTTTCATTGTTTTGATTGTTGACAGCAATTGTGTCTGAATAAATTCCACTTTCATTTTCATAATCAACAGCAAACTTGCGTAAGACTCCATTAATTCTATTAGGACGAAGCCACATTAACAAAGATTCATCATGAGTTGTTTTTAGCATTGTTAGCTTCATTGGGATATCAGGAACTATATAACAAACATAAAAAATAAAAACAAAACAAAAATAAAAATTTAAAATATAAAAATTCATTAATAAATTATAATAATTGTTTATCACTTTCTTCATGATTCATAAATATTTGTTATAAAGGGTTATAAATGGTTATTTAGGAGTTTAGGTGATTGTGTGTACATATTTGTTTTCAATATGTAGGACAACAAATTGAAAACTATTGCATTAGTAATACCACAAAAAAATGTTTATAAATCAAACAGTAATAAACCTCCTTCTGGTAAAGTAAAGTTAACTGGATCAGAGAAATTTCCCCAAATATTATTTCCAACAGCTTCACGTACAGATATTGAATAGTCTGAATATGGCAGCATCTTTGTTAATAGATAAACCCGATTTTCTGTTTCACCAGGTTTGACCTGAAGAGATTCTTCATATGTTTTATGTGTTTCTTTGGAGTAATAGCTCCATTTAAACTCATACATAGTTGATTCTTCAGTCATTTCAGGGGGAAACCAAATTATTTTCACATTTTGAGAATCCAGAACTTCAACTTTAACACTAAGAGGTTCACCAGGAGCTACAAAAAGTTAAAATGCAGTTAATTTAAAACATGTAAAAAGAGTAAAAAAACTAAAATCAAAAAACCTGTTTCTACTTACACTTTGAGCATCAAGATTTACGTTTTAGAAATTATAAGGTTGAGAGTGGGGTATAGTAAAAAAAAACAAACTTAAAATTAAAAAAATTAGTTGACTATAGTGGCACTCTTTACATAATTACTTCACATACCAGATAATTACTTTATATACCACATAATTGCTTTATACACAGCATAACTACTTTACATACCACATAATTACTTCACATAACACATAATTACTCCACAAACCACATAACTACTTCAGTTAACACATAAATACTTCCAGCCCTCGGAATTAGGAGTCAGCTTTCAGCAATGCCGACCTAACTGCTGACCTGATAGTGTTTGAGGTTGGAAAAAAATTATCAACCTTATTTTTATGTTTTATGGTAATCCCTTTGAGTCAAGTTTTTTTTTTTGCCAAACTGTTGCCGACCTCTAAAAGTTAAGGCAATTTTTTATAATTCTGAAGATTGCACTTCACATACCTTATAATTACTTAAAATACCCTATAATTACTTCAAATATCCCATTTGTATTATGAGTTTGTAGAACCCATGGAATAGTTTGTTTTTGCAAAAAAGGAGCAAAATTCCCAATAAAAAAAATTACAAGCATCACTGGACTAAATTAACATTTATTCATAAATAAAAATTAATTGCTAACCAATAAATAGAAATGATATGAAAATGAAAAACAAATTACCAAGGGGTTCAGTAGATTCTATAATCTCTTTGGACCACTCTCCACTTCCAGCAGCATTTGATGCTTGCACAAAAATTAAATAAGGAGTGTTAGGTTTCAAATTTTCAAAATCTGCTTTTAAGTTTAACTCCTGAGGCAACAACTTGGCTTCATCAAAACTTAGAGAATTTTGTTCAAAAAACTTCACTGAGTAGTTTGTTATAACACCATTTGGATGCTTTGGTGGGTCCCATTGAACCATTATATGGGTTGAAGAAAGTGCAGTGGCTTTAATGTTTGCAGGAGAACTAGGAGCTAAAAGTATATTTATTAATTAAAATTTATTTAAAACTGCAATTATAAATATTTTTTATTAGTATATGTTTATTTATATTAGCTTTACATATTTATATTAGCTATATATATTTATATATAAATGTAAGTCGATTATAAATATTTTTTAATAGTACATGCTTATTTATATTATTTATATATAAATACATATAATATATATATATATATATATATATATATATATATATATATATATATATATATATATATATATATATATATATATATATGTATATATATATGTACATATATATGTATACATATATATGTATATATATATATATATATATATACATATATATGTATATATATATATATACATATATATATATATATACATATATATGTATATATATATATATATATATATATTTATATTTATATATATATATATATATATATATATATATATATATATATATATATATATATATATATATATATATATATATATATATATATATATATATATATATATATATATATATATATATATATATATATATATATATATATATATATATATGATAGTCTGAGTAAACATACTGCTTTTAAAAAAAACTGTAGACAAGTGTTTTTTTTTTCTTTTTATGGAAGCAATTATTTTGTTTTTTGTTGGTTTTTATTAAATAATGAGTTTATTAGATAGTAACTAATTTATCATAAATAAAGATTTGTGTAACAAATAAATGAATGAAACCTCTGAAGTAATAATTTTTGTATATTAAATGGTAAAAAGTAAAATGTTTAAGGCAAACATTATGACTTTATGTTTTTATTCAATATGACTTCTAATTAGTAAATTTTTTACTAAGTCAACCATTTCATAGCATGTATGAGGAAAAAAAAACAGTATAAAATTAAATTTTTGTTTTATTTTTTTGACCTTTTTTAGTAGCCATTTTTGACCATATCAGTTGTCCAGTGTATTAACAGATTGAAGATCGAAACAGTTTTTATAGAAATTTGATATTATCAAAAAAGAAAAATAGTTTGAGACATTTTTAAAGGATAAAAAAAAAAGTCAGCTTTCATAAACTCCTCAGATTCATCAGGCAACTCACAAAACTTCATTCTTCTCAGAGCTTTAAAAAACAAAAAATTAATAGTTGGTAATGTGTATGGAGCCGGAATTCGCACTTGGATTTACACAAGAAACAAATGGATGCTTTGGTCTTCACTTTCTATAAACTAAAACTTTTTCAGAGATTTTAGGCCAAGAACTATGAAAGATTGACCACAAAAAAGTATATGGGCTACCTATAATATTATCTCATGGCATATTTCATTAAGCGATGTGCAAAAATCTTTTTGAGTCTATGCCTAGAAGAGTTCTTAGTTGTATTAAAGCAAAAGGCGGATACACAAAATATTGATTGGTTCATAAATTACGCCTTCTAATGTATCGTGCGTCTAAATTTATGAATAATTTTTTTTGTCTAATTTTTTTAATACTATGTAGTTGTACCTAATTATTACTTAGTATTTCATTTTTTTTGTAAACTTTTTTTAAATTTTGTATTCTGTATGTATTTATCTGATAAATAGAAAAAAAACTAAACCGAAATCTTTTTTCGTCATTGTTTTATCGTTAAAATACCCAAAATTTTCTATTCTCAAATATGAGTGCGTCTAAATTTATGAAAACCACTGTATATATATATATATATATATATATATATATATATATATATATATATATATATATATATATATATATATATATATATATGTATATATATATATACATATATATATATATATACATATATATATATATATATATATATATATATATATATATATATATATATATATATATATAGAGAGAGAGAGAGAGAGAGAGAGCTTGAAGTGAGGGGGGATGTGGCCGGTTGCCATCCCATCACCTTTTTATAAAGTATAAACCACTAAATTGAACTTTTTATGATAGTTGTTCAAAGAAAATTTACAAAGAAAATTTAGAACCTTTAAAATTTGTTTCATTATAATGGTCTACAATTGTTTGGCTTGGACTCATTTGAAGTTAGGCGCCTTGAACATGACTTGGTAACATCTTTTAAAATTGTTTGCAATCTTGTTTTTTACTAAAAGTTCAATGTTCTTTGTGAACAAAAGCAACGTCATGATAATTTTTATAAAATTATAATACTTATAATGATATATTATCATGATAATATTTATAAAATACCTAAATGACATGGTGGCTCAAATTCTCAAAAATATAGTTTCTCTCACCGCATTTCTGACATTATTTGACCTTAGGCAGTGGATATGTAAAAAATATTTTATTTTTGAAAATAAAATTAATTCCTCTAATTTTAATAAGTTCTGTTTAATTTGAAATAATGTTTTACACCTCTGTTTATTTGTTACTAAATTATTTTCGTGGTGACATTTTCTATTTATTTAGAAGCACATTGTTAGTGTCCGTATTTGTATGAACCCAAGTGTTCTTTGGAACATGTATTTGTTGTTCTAATAAATAAATAAATATAAATATAAAATAAATACTATACTTATATATAAGAACTTATATATTATTTATAATTATATATTTATTTACTTATTAATATATACTTTTTTTTATGTATATTTAACAAAAGCTAAATAAAATCCAACAGTTGACATAGTTATAAAGTTGTGCACTCTCTTGCACCTTATAAAGTTGCACATTCTCTTGCACATTATAAAGTGGCGCACTCTCTTGCATGTAATTTTTTAAGAAACAATAGTTCCTGTTTTTAAACATTTACAGCAGAACTTTCTAAAATAACCTATTATTTTATTATCTCATTACTTATAAAGAAAAAGAAATTTTTAATTTTTAATTTTTACTTTGATTATTGATTTTATAAAGTTTTTACATAAATTAATTTATTATTATATAATAAAATGCACCTGCTGCAGATGTTTTAAATTTTTGTATTTGGTCATCTGAAGTAAAAAACTCATTTTGAACTGTTATATTAACAGTATATTCAGTGTAAGGAACCAAGTTGTTTATTTCATACATAGTGAGAGATGAATTTAATGCAATATTTATGGGGTTGGAACCACTATACCAATATGATAAACACAGTTTTTTTAGGACACCGTTGCCAAGATTTGTAGGAATTACATAAGATATCATGGCAGATTGAGCTGTAACATATTTGATGGAAACTTCAACAGTATCAGGTTTACCTAATAAAAAAATAAAAAATAATAATAAAAAAAATTTCTGTAACTAGTAAACAATAAACTTACAAATCTTAGTTAACAAAAAAAACAACTTTGAATCTTGCTGGTGACTTTTTTTGCATAGTTCAAAAATAAATTTGACACATTTTAATCAAAAAATAAACTTCCCATATATTTAGTTATTCACAATATTTATATATTCAATCACGTATAAAGAGTATTTAGTGCATTAATACTGACAGCTATAAAATAAAACTTTAACGGATTAATAAATTAAAAATATTTAATTTATTCTTCCGTTGTGAATAAATTAAATACTTTCCAACATGTTCTAAATGCTGCTCAAATAGTTTAATATAGTAATTCTAATATTATCTAAATATTAATAGCCGAATGAATATTATTATTAGTGTGCATAGTTACGCATTGTTACGCCTATTGTTCGTTTTGTTAATTAAGGTTCTGCATTAAGTAAAATACACTATTTCTTAGTTTTGAAGTTGTTTCTAGACTTTTCTAAGCGCAGTTATATATATTCCATGCGGTCTTTCGAGTAAAATCAGCAAGCAAATTGGAGCTGATGTACTTTTTTTCAAAAAGAATTAATGTTTATTTTTTAAAATAAAAATTTAATTGTTAGTTTGTTGTTGCTTATTTTTATTTTTTTCCAATTTTTATAGTCTGTTTTTATTTTTTAGAAGAAGTTAGAACTAAAATGTTTGGTAAAATAGTTTTTTTAGTAAAATGTTTCTTTTTTAGTAAACTGTTTCATTTTGTCGTTAGTCTTTTTAGAACATTTTAAGCAAGTATTGTTTTATTTTTTAGAGCAGTTAAGAAAAGCTGATGGTTTTTTTAGTAAGTTCAATTCGTTTTGTTATTTATAGATAAAGATTGTTTTTTGCAAAAAGAATTATATATAAAATAAAGTTTTATACATGTATTTAATATGAAAAGTTAAATAAAATAAGACTGTTATTTGTGTTCATGTAAGCTCATATACATAAGTTTGCATTTATTTTAGTCTATTTTATATTTCTCTATATCTATACTATATGTATATTTTCTCTTAGCAAAAGTTATTCAGAATAGAAAAAAAAAAATTCTTCTGGAATTTGTCAAAAGAATGTTGTGTTATGCTTCATTTTAAGGTATCTAATTATGTATTTATTTTTCATTTTTTAGAAATTAGAACTAAATTGACTGGTAAAATAGTTTTATTAGTACAATGTTTCTTTTTTAAGAAAACTGTTTCAGTTTTGTCATTAGTCTTTTTAAAACATTTTAAGCAAGTATTTGCTATATTTTTTAGGGCATTTAAGACGAAATGATCGCTTTTTTAGTAAATTTACTTCATTTTCTCATACATTTTCATACAAGATTTTTTTATATAGAAAGAATAATGAGAATAAAATTTTATTTATGTATTTAATATGAAAAGTTAAATAAAATAAGACTGTTATTTGTGGTCATGTAAGTTTATATACATAAGTTTGCGTTTATTTCAGTCTATTTTATATTTCTCTATATCTATATGTATATTTTCTCTAAGGAAAAATAATAAGGAATAGAAAAATTTAGAAAAGTTGCTCTGGAATTTGTCAAAAAAGTGTTGTGTTATGCTTCATTTTAAGGTATCTAAATATATATTCATTTAAATTTTTAATTTTGTTTTTAAATGGTTTATTCTTTTTCACTACTTTAGATAAATATATACTGACTGACATAACTTCATTTTTATTAACAATGTTGTGCATTTTAGTCTGCATTCTTTGTTACATTTAAAATAATTGATGCTAATAAATGTTGTTTTATAGTTGTTAAAAGTTTGCATATATGTTTGCATGTAAATTATGATCAAAGTTAAAACTTTTTTGATAAATACATGTATGTGGTGATATTACTCAGGTATCACCACAGCTTATCTCTATCAGGTACATAGATTTTCAATTCACATATGATGTTTTTCTTTGTATTTACTTATTCATTACATTTTTAACTTCAGATTTATGGTGTATTTATTTGCTATAGAAGAACAAATCATTTTGAATTTTTTAAAAATATCTACACCAATCAACATTTAAAGTTCAATGTTGCATATACTATTTTTAAGTAGCTTCTAGGCTTTTTTGATGCTTTTCTTATTCAAGTGGTTTCATAAGCAAGGTCTACAAGCAAATTTGAGATGAAAAGTTTTTCAGCTTTCAAGGAGTATCAATGTTGTTCTCTGTTTAAATAATTTGTTTAAATAGAGTAGTTTTAGTAAATAAATGTTTGTTTGTTCTTGGTTTTTTACTTATTTGTTTTCAGATTCTTAAGAACTAGGCAACTTAGCAAAGCAAGATTTATTTTATTTTTTACTGCAATTGGAAAGAGCTAAAGTGCTTTTTAGTCACTTCAATTCATTTGTTTCTTTTTTTAAATAGAAGGGTTAATAATAAAAATATTTAGACAGTCAAACTGTTACTGATTTGAGTAAGTTTAATGTTTTGTTTAATTTTATATTAGATATATATTTTATGTATTTAACATGAAAAACTGACTGTAATTTTTAACAGGTAAGTTTATATACATAAATGTGCCTATATATCAGAATATTTTATACTTCTCTGAATCTATATGAATATTATCTCAAAGAAAAAATTAAGAATAGAAAAAATTTGAATATATATACATACATATATATTACTTTAGACTGACATTGCTTCATTTTTTATACAAGATTCTGCATTTATTATTTTTGTGCATTAAGATTGTGCCTGAACGCTTTCTTAATTTAGCAAAGAATTTAGAACACAATGCAAATAACTTTGCACTGTGTTCTAAATTCTTTGCTAAATTAAAATAATGTCAATAAATTTTGTTTTATATTTTTCAGTTGTAAAAATATAAAACGTTCATTTATTCAGTTGTAACAGTAGTATAATCACTGGTAATATATATTTAATGATAACAGATGTATAATATTAGGCTCGAAGAAGTTATTAGTGTAAATAGTTATAGGTGACTTGAAATTGTTGTCATATGAAAGAAATAGATCTAGGCGTGATAAAATTAATTGTCATTGAAATATAAGAAATTTTGCTTGATGAACCAAAAACTTACTTGGCAGAATTCAGTGTCAAGCGGTGTTGATGTCTATTATTTGACTTTACATTAGACACTTTAAAATAAAGCAAAGTATGAATTTTACTATTTATAGTAACAAATAATAACAGTTTCAATTTTAAATGATATTTTTTTTTTTTTTTTTGTAATCTAAAGCATAATTGTTCATTTTTTTTTAGTTGTCTTTGTCATCACTCGATTATTTTGCTTACTGTTGAAACATGGTTTTAATTTTGTAAATTTAATATGATGTGAAATTTACAATATTAATCATTTGTCAACAGTTAGAGAGAAGCTGGAAACTAATTAAGAAATGCTGGAAATTAACTTTTAGTTAAGGTAAAAATAATTTTGTTTATTGGTAGCATAATAAAACCAGTTACTGTTATTTATTGCATAAATTTTTTACTTTTTCTTACATGGTGTTTTTAAAACACATCCTCTCTCTCTTAGATGAGACTTAAATAAGAATTAGTATTGAGAATTGTAGAGGGAGAATTGATTAAACTCTGTAATTACTGAGATCTGATTAAACTCTGTAACTACTAAGCTCTTGCGTATTTTTTAATACTGCGATTGATAATTTGACTATTTAAAGATATAATTCTTTAAATTGTCCCTTGGTTGTTCAAATATTGTAATAAATAAAATCTTTTTAGTTTCAAGTATTTTCTCTTAGGGATTGTCTATATATTACGTAACGCGAAATTAAACATAGACAAAAGAAATATCTCAAAAACCGTGTTTCTCTCATGGTCAACTATATGCTGCATTTTCAAGAACTATAGCATTTAATAGTTTGTTTTTCAAAATTGATAAACATCTTATTCAAGGTATAGTAGGTAAAAAAATGTATCATGAATATTGTTATTTTTTTTAATGTTCTTAATTTATAGCCTTTAGATTTTCATTTCGAAAATTTACTGTTAAAGGTTGTGAGCAGATTTTGTATGTATAACTTTATTTATCATTATTTATTTTTTTTCATAGTTTTTGGTAAATATATCTATCATTCAATAGTTGTAAAATGTTTACACGTGTTACATAAAGTCATATTTGTTTATAGTTATATATATATGTTTAAATTATAAAAGCCAAAACAACAATTTATATCTTAGTTTGATTTTTTTTTTAGTATTGTTAATGCTTTGGTACTTCGAAACAGGTTTTATAGTTACATTTTCAATAAATCTTTAACTGCAATTTCAAAATAGGTTACTAAAATAGGTAAATCGATTTTTGGTAATTGTGTGGTGGTTTCTATTGGTTTTTTTTCTTCGTAATTATGATATCATAATTTCATTACTTTTTTATTTTAGAATTACATTATGACGCATTTATAAGATTTATAAAATAAAAAAACCTGATTTCTTTTTATTGTAAATTTTTGTTAGCTAAAAAGATATAAATATATGCTATTAGTTAATTTTTTATTTTATCTATTTTATACCTAATAATTTATTATACGTATTTTAAGGGGATCTTTGTAAATGGGGGGTCGTAACTAAAAACCTTTAAAAATATGGAGAATATTGTAGTTTTGCGCATTAATATCGAGTTACTTAAGTTTTATTTATGTGTTTAACTAATTAGTTAGCTTAGTCTGTATTTGCAACACTTTTGCGGAAAGAAAGAAAACATTCTTATATAAGTAGATCATTGTTTTACATTTTATTATTTTATTTTATTCACCTGGCCACCATTAAAGCAAAAAGAGGGAAGGAACCTCTTTATTAGAGTCAAAATATTTAGGAAAATTAAATTTCGAGTTACAAAAGGAATTTTTAGTAAATGGTGGCAAACTACCGTTTACTAAAAATTTAATGAAATAAAGAGGCCAAACAAATAATATAGAAATGGTCTGTGTTGAACAGACTTAACAAGACCCGGGCCGGGTTAGCTTGGTTTTCAAAATTTTTATGTCTACTTATTTCTTATAATTTTTATTTTAGTTTGTCATATGATGCATTAATGTATTAAAAAATTTGTTATACCCATGTTTGATCGTAAATTAAGTTTTTTTTGTTTGAAAGGTATTTATACTCAGTTGCATAGTTATAATAAACTTTGTTATTTTTTATAAATTTATTTAAATGTGTGCATTTAACATTTTTATGTTAACAATTTTCTTTTCTAAAGAACAATTAATCAAAGAGATACCAAAAAATTGATAACTCCTGTATAATATAAATTAACTTCATTTTAATCTTAATGGATCGTGTTATAAAAATTATTACAAGGATTTAGTTGACACTTTCGTCAATTTAAAGCATGACCAAGTGTTATTATTTTGTGTCAGTAACTAAAAATGTATTGTGTTAAACTTAGGAAGGTCGATGAAAATGGTTCTGCCTTACACTGTTATGACCTATGCCATTTGTAAATTACTTAAATAATGTTAAGTAGTAATTGTAAATGTTAAGTAGTAGTTGGTAAATTATTTTACCTCCTCATAATTTTTATGTTAATTTTACAGATGGATTAATTTTTTCAAGCTGAAGGCGATTTTCTAAAAGGGTATTAGTTAAGGTTTTACAAGATTAAATTGTGAAAAAACAGCCACTATAAATTAATTATGTAACAGACCGACCAAACCTTTAACTCCCACAACATATTATTAGGTATAATTAATTAGCATAATTAACATAATTAATACTCTTTGTCTTATGTTGATGGTGAAGAGTTTATTTTTCTTTGATAAATGGAGTGTTTTACTCCTTTTATTAGAGCATGTTATAAAAAGGTAAATTTTGAGGCATAAGAAATGTATGTCAGTGCATTTGATACAATCAACAACAAGTTTTGAGTTGGATTTTTAATTAGAATAGTTTTTAGAATACTATGTACAAGGGTTGTTCAGTTACCTTAGTAGTATGTAGTTGTCATAATTGTACTTGAATTTGTAAAAGTATGAAAACTTTCTTATTCACAAAATTAAGCAGAAAATAGTTTCTCTGTTTTTGAAGAACATAAAAAAAAGTCAAAAAATACCAGTGTATTTGGCCAATGTAATTTGTTATGCATTATTATTGCACTATAACTCCATGTAATCTTACAAAATGCATTTGGAAGAATTTCCATTACCATCATATTTGTTATAAAATAAAAATAAAAAAATGAGTCTGGTAATATAGATGTAGTAAAATCTGAATAATTGTTTCTTGAAGGTTGTTACAAAATGTCTGTATAATATTTGATGAAGTGTATTTTCAGAAATGTGCAGAACACCATACAAATATAAATATATATAAACTCTGTGGGGTATATATTTTATTGGGTATAATATATGAACTATAACAGGAGTAAACAGTATTGGTGAACATTACAGAATTGTTTTTTTATTAATGATAAATAGTTTAAAATAAAACATTTTATACATTATAAAAGCTGTTCCAGTTGTAAAAATTGATATTGGTTAAAAAATGAGATTGAATATTGTAACTTAAAATATTTCTTTTATAAGTGGTTTTGTTGTGTAGCTATTATGTGTGATAATAATGCAAGTTCTAAACTATCTGAATATAAAAATGGCTAAATTCTGCTAAACTATCAAAATATAAAAATGGCTTTGATAGCCTCTCAATTTTATACAACTGCAGAAAAGTTTATTTATTTTATGATGCTGTACATTTAATTAAAAAATGTGAGAAATAACTTGCTGAAAAAGGTTTGAGTATCTTCCATTTGAGTTCATTGAATTTAAATAATTAAATCTTTTTTTTAATGAATCTTGTTTTCTAGATTGAAAAGTATTTATATGAATAAACACCTTTTGTTAGTTCATTTCCTTTGCTTTTTATAGAATAGTAATTCTATTTAACTCTGTTTTTTCAACAAAAATGTAAAATTAGTAGTAAATAGGTTTTGAGCTAGATTTTCAATTAAAACAGTTTTAAGTGAGATTTTGAATTGGAACAGTTTTGAGTTAGATTTTGAATTGGAACAGTTTTAAGTTAGATTATCAATTAGAATAAATTAAAATTAGTTCCGTGGTAATTTATCCAATTGTGGTAGTTTAAAAAAAAGACCCAATAAAAAATTACTTTAATACGTTAGCATATGCTTATGTGTTAGAGATTTATATTCATAACAGATCTGTTTGTTATCTTCCATTTTTCGTAATCTATACAAGAATCGTCATTTTTCATTAATATCATTTTCAGAATACAACTCATTTTCAAGACTCATTTTCAATACAACTTCTACACACAAATACACCCTCTACACACAAATACACACTCTACACACAAATACACACTCTACACACAAATACACCCTCTAAACGCAAACGGCAATAACAAACCATGCAATTCTTGTTAAGCTCAAGTTAACAACAAACAAGCTTATTAATAGGTTTGTGATTCTTTGATAGTTTGTTTTATCATTTATAAATATAATCCTTGATAGTGATAATCACTTAATACTTAGGAATGCACTAATTATAAAAATGCTTTTTTATGCATATTTTTTTTTTTAATGCAGATGCATACGATTGAAGTATAAGCTTTTTTTTGTTTTAAAAGAAAAAAGAAAACCTCCTTTACTGTAACAATTTGATTTGAATCTGAACCATATCATATTACTTTTTAATATATTTTTTATATATTTTATACAAAAAAAAATTGGAACAAATGTAGCTTAACTTTCTGATTGCAACTGGAACTTTTTCGGAGATTTTTCCTATTTGTATATTTACATTACTTGCTTTAAATTGAACTTCTTTTATATGATTTGATGGAATCTATATATGTAGAAATAATATAGCCTTCAAATTGGCTAACACTAAGAATGCAGGACAAAGTTAATAGCTTGTGACTAAACAGCAAATTATTGTTCACAATTTTTATTACAAAATTTTGCCAATTTTTTTTGTACAAACTCTTTGTAGCGCTTGTGGATTATTTTGTCTTAGTTTGTATTTATAGTAGTACTTGTGGATTATTTTACAGCCTTATTTTTTTTTTTTTTGGTTCCCCAAAAAGTAAATTTTTTTTTTAGTAATTTTTTGTTATTTCATCTCTAATAACATTAAATGTTTCCGATGTGTTTTACTCTTGAACTGAACTTTTTTAAGTTGAAAAAAAAAGTTATTATAAAAGCTTTTTAACTTTCAGGAGTTTAACTATTTTGCGTGAAAATTTAGTTATGATTACTTGGCTGAAGTTGAGCTTACTAAGAAGAAACAAAATGTCATCAAATAAAATTTTAATTCTAATTTAATCTATTTTGTTCGCTAAATTTACTAGTACAGGTTAAATTGAGCTTTTTAAAAAAATGTCATCTAATGAAATTGTACTTCATTACTAATTCTATTTTATTGCCTAAATTTACTAGTGAATTTTGATTTACCAAACTACAAGTAAATAAAAAAATTAGTAAATTTACAAAATGAAAATAAAAACATTTATTTCAGAAAAAACACAAAGTCTTCAATTATCCTAATATTTATAAATAAAAAAACACTTACTTATTTCAAATACATTTATGATAAGAGTGTCAACACCAACAATGTTATATGCCTGACATACATAGTCTCCAAAATGGCTGGAAGTTGGCATTTGAAAGGTATAGGTGGAGGTAACGGCATTTTGATGACCCAAAGGATTATTCCATCTGTATGTTGGTTCTGGAAAACCATCAGCTATACAAAGTAATGTTGTTGGTTTTGGATTATTTATATAAGAACCAATTCTTATTGTTGATTTCTCTCTGTTTATTTTAGGTTCATCTGCAATAAAAGTATTTAAATTTATGTTGAATACAATAAAGATTTGTCATTTAAAACACACACACACAAATATATATATATATATATATATATATATATATAATATATATATATATATATATATATATATATATATATATATACATATACATATATTAGACCTGGTCAATTTTTATGTCATAAAATATTTTGACCAGAGGTGCACAAAATAAGCTTATTTTTTAATTAGAATTTTTTTTTTTAGACTTAATCCTATTAAGGCTGCAAGCAATCACTATTAAATTGGGAGAAACTAAAAAACAAAGAATACACCATAGATGAGTATTTGACTGATGAAAATCTTTGATGAAAATCCCAGAATTTTTTTTTTATGGAAATCCCGAAAAATTATATTATTATAAATTGATCGTATTAACTGAAAACAAAAACTTTCGTAAACTTTTAAAACAGAATTTAACTTTTTACAAAAATTAATTAACTTTTTACAAAAAGGAATTTCTAATATTCGAAAAAGTTAATTTGAATAAATTGAAAAACAAAATAAAATAAAAAAATGTTACGAAAATTGATCTCGTGAAAATTTTAAAAATAGAAAACATATTTGTTTAAATGCATATGTTGTCGTTTTTAAAATTTTATGTATAAATATATAATTTTTTAAAAATAAATTAATAAAAAAAACATCCTGAATTTTCTGGATGTTAAAGGAGTTTTAAGTGAATTTCCGGAAAAAACTCATTTATGATACACTAAAAGAACAAGAAAACTGTTGACAGAAGGCCTGATTTTATTTTGACTTGATTGTAGAAAACATAAAGGTGGAGGAAAGTTCTAAAGGATTGAAGTGCAAAAAAAAAACTACACAAATAAAAGTTTTTAGAGCATGCAGAGCCAGATACAGTAAAAAAATGAGACTTTGTTAAATGATGAGTCAAGCAACTTTAGAAGGATGCAACTTTATAACGATGAGAAAGAGGCTCAAACTTAGCAGATAGAGCAGGTTCAACTATGTTTACAATGTGTTTCCAGACCTTGTCTAGAAGAGAGAGAGAGAGCATCATTAGAAAAACCAGCCCAAACATGGCAATAGTACTCCATAGAGGGACAGGAATAAGCAATTTTTAAAGGTAGAGAATGGAATCATATGTAAATGAATTATAGAGAAGCAATGATAACAGATGCTAACTTAGTAATCGCTTGTATGTATGGTTTCCATACATACAAGCGAAGTGAGTGTAGTCAGTAGTTAACGATAATCCAAGAAGATGTAAAGAAGAGAACTCAGTGAGAAGGCTACCATTCATTAATATAAGAATGCAGATAGTATTGCAATAGTTGTTTGCAATAAATAAATGACTTTTATTAGAGTTAAAAATCACAAGCCACTGCAAGCCTCAATCTGTTACAGAAGTGCAATCAGATTTAATATCAGCTGTTCTAAGCTATTGAAAAATACAATTTGTCAAGACAGTAGTATAAAGTTGTCAGCAAATAGAGCTACTTTAGATGTAAGGTTCTCAGGAAAATGTAGATAAGAAATAAAACAGAACCAAAGATAGAACCTTGAGGTACCCCAGAAGTTAATGGAAATAAAAATGTTAGCTTTTGAGGATGACTTTAATAAAGCGGTTAAGTAGAAATGATTTAATGATCTTAAAAACTTTCCTAAATATGGAGAAGATAAAAAACTTTATTGGAAGCTTTGTTAAGAGCAATAGCTCTAGCCTCGCTAGCTCTAGCCTCGCTATCACTGTCTAATGCACAATAAAATCTTTCAGTCTCTGCAGGTAGCTGAAGAGCAAAAGGATCAAGTTTGACAATAAGTTATTTGACTCAAGAAGGGATGTTAGAAATTTGTTGAACAAAGACCTAACAGATAGAGGTTTAGATTGCTAATAACAGATAGAGGACTGATCCAACGATAGTTGGAGGGGTCAGAATGTTCTTCAGAGTTTTTAAAGATTGGAACCACAATGCATTTTTCCATCAGACCTATCTTTGTTAATGACGCTTTAATAAATAAGCCAAGTATATCTATTGGAATCTTTGCCATTAAACCATCAATACCCATCAATACTAAGATCCAAAAAAGAAACAACTGAACTCAATTTAGTCTCACAAAAAGCAAGCAAGTCTGTTTTGCAAGAGGTAAGATTCAAATGATGGAAGGTTACTTGATTTTGTGATTGGTATATTGTAACAGTTAAGTGGTGGGCATAACTTTTTATGTTTAATATTTTGGGTTACTTTGGGCATGATTTAAATTTAAAGAGAACTTGACTCATTCATAGATAGAGCACAGCATCCCAAGTAATAAACTATGCAGTTGTCTCAGTTCAGCTAATTAACTTTAGTTAAGCTAAATATAATTTTTTTTTTTTGAAAATTCATGACCATGTTAAGTTTTTTCTCTCCCCATAATAAAGGCATAATAAATTAAACATCTTCATAACTTTCAAATATTAATTATTTGATGAATTTAAAGCCTCAATAAATTTAACTTAAGTATAATATAGTGTAATGAAATATTTATCAAGTAACTTTCCTCGCATTTGGTGGAGGTGGTCAAGATAAACTTTTCAGGTTACTTTTGTTCCCAGTCTCTAATTACCATTGTTTTTGATACAAAACATTCTCATTCTATACAAGCATAAACATACTAAAGTTTGGAGTTTGCAGAAAGTTTTATAATGTCATACCTAAGACTTAAAAAAATGATGTTAGCGTCTATTTAGCTACGTGCCGGTAAATCATTTTTATTTAAAATGCTCAAAATTAAATTTTCACATAGATAATCAATTCTCCACCCCCAAAGGTTTTGATGTGTTCATCAAAAGATTTCTTAAAATTTTGCTAACTTTGTTCTGCTCCTTTGAGCATAGTAAAGTTTAAATTAAAGAACCAGATATGCTTGTAATTACAACAGAGTACATTAAAAACATTTTAGTGCAGTAATAGCAGTTTTTTACAATATTTAAAAACAAGTTTATCATCAAATTTTTAGTTGAAGACCTTAAAAAAAAGTATAAAGTAATATCCGGTATCTCTGGCTGGATATTAGCCAGATATCCAGCGAGATAACGGATAATAACACCATAGATGAGTATTTGACTGAAAATATCCGGTATATCCGACCGGATATTATATCCGGTACACCTCTACAAAACAGCTTTTGTTGGTCGTAGAACAAACAAAAGGTTTCATTCTGACTGCATTGTGGATACAGTCAAGCATCCAGCTTTGAAGAAGTTCTGGAGAGTCAGTTGTTTTCTCAAATGGCAGATTGGACTGAAAATGTCAAAAAAATTTTATTAAAGTCAAAAAAATGTCAAAAATCTTATACTTATGCAAGATGTCACACAGCAAAAAGTGTTTTGACTTATTTAAAACAGAAAAAAGTTGATTTATAACCATGGCTAGGCAACTCACCTGATTTTAACCCCATAGGAAACATTTGGGAAATAGTAACGCGAGAGATTAGAAAAAAATTCTTACTAACAAGCTAGATCTTATGGAAGAGGTTATCAGGATCTGGCATAATAACCTGAGTTGACAGAAACTAAAAAAAAATAGTCAGCTATCTTTTGAATTTAATTCATTTATGATTGACCTCTTTTCAAATTTCATATTACTTTTTGATAATTTTCATTATTTTTTGATACTTTATTTATAATTTATTGAAATACACTATAAAAATAAAGTTAAGTACGTTTTTAAGACATAATCCACATGCGCCTATAAAAAATGGTCGCAGCGTATATAATATATATATATATATATATATATATATATATATATATATATATATATATATATATATATATATATATATATATATATATATATATATATATATATATATATAAATATTTATATATGTATATATTATATATATTGTTCTTTACTTTGTAAAGTTATATTTGATAAAAAATAAACAAATAAAAGTAAACATCGAATATTAATTAGTTATTACAATAAATGATATAAAAATATATGAAGTATTATTATTTTGTAAGACTGCCTTTATTTGCAATAACTGCTTTGATGTGTCATCACATGCTTGCAATTGATTTTTTTTTAGTTTCTGTCAACTCAGGTTATTATGCCAGATCCTGATAATCTCTTCCATAAGATCTAGCTTGTTAGTAATCAAATAAATCAACATGGCGAGCTACGCAGACCACCTACCTATGGTCTTGTGTGGAATTTTTCTGAAAAACTAAAATTATTATGCTTTGATGATAATTTTTGATATTTTCATTGATCTTTTATTTTGTTTCTTTTTTATTCCAGTGAATGTAAAAATAATTTTTTTTTTCAATAAAAAAGTAGAACAGGCTTGCATTTAAAAAAAACTTTAATTCATCTAAAAGTTTTTGTTTTTTTAATTAGTTTTTATATAATTATTTTCATATCTATTTAATAATTTAGTTAATAATTAAATAAATAATATAAAAATATTCAACCATTTTAATAAAGCAACAATGTAATATTTTATTGTGTTTCACATTTAAATTTTATCTAATTGCCAAAATTTAAATGTGAAACAAACATTTTTAAAATTATGACAAAAACGCAAACTTTGAATTAAATTTTTTTTAAGAATGAGTTTATTTTTTAATGATTAATGCTATTTTTATAGCATAGCATTGAAATATGTTGAACTTACAAGGAGTGTACATACTAGTATTGTTCCGATAAGACATTTTTGCCCAATGCCGATGGATGATAAAAGGCTGATACAGATGCCGATACTGATAAACTAACTAATTATTAAAATTTTGAATATACAAAACCATAAAACTTTAAATTGTGTAATCTTTTTCATGGAATCAGTACTGGTAGAAAAAATACTTGGACCCAAATCAGAGCCAAACCATTGTTTTATTTAAATTAGAAAAACTCAGTTAAAAAGTATACATTTTTTAGTTTTTTTTTTACTATGAAAAGAAAACTTTCAGAAAAATAAATACTATTTTAGAGGAATGCTTTTTATTTCAATTTTAAAAAGAAAATGGTACTGGATTTTTTTTTTTATCATCTTTGCTTCCAACTAGGCTGCAAGCAATTAATATTAGAGTTGGAAGTTACTGGAAGAGAAAGGATGAAGTTTATAGAGCAAGATAATGATTGACAGGCAACTTAAAAGATTGAAAATTATATGAATCAGGAAAACAAGATGAAGGAAGAGAATTCCGAAGAACTGATGTTCTAGGGAATAAACAAGATGAATAAGAATATTTGGAGCACTTAGGAACAGTCACCGTAAAATAATGAGACTTTATTGAATGACAAGTAACATAAGAATGAATTTTAGTAGATAGCACAAGACATGCTAGCTCTTTACAGCAGTGCCCATTATAGTATGTGTATAGATGTGATAATGGTTGGAGGTTGGCTGCAAGAGCAGGTCTAACTATGTTACAATGTGTTTTTGCACCTTGCTAAAAGAGAAAGGGCATCATTAGAAGATCCGCTGGCAACAGTATTCCATACAAGGCTAGATTTGAGATTTATAGAGATAAAATATAGAATCCAGAGAAAGAAAGTGCTGAGAACGATAAAGAAAAGCAACAATAGCAAATGCTAATTAAGAGTTAATCCTAGTAGATGAAGGGTAGATAACTCATCAAGCAAATTCCTATTCATAAATATAGGAAGATCTAAATTATTGGGATAACGATTGGCTGAAAAAAATTGTGTTTTATCTGAATTAAAGTTCATCAGCCACTGTGAGCCCCATGTTGTAGCACAAGTTAGATCCTTTTCAAGCTCAAATATTCCCTCAAAGCAATCAGAGAGTGTTGGTTTCTGATTAAGACAAGAATAAACGCAATTAAGTAGTTTACTTAGATATCTAAACAACAATCATATGTTGTTTAGATATCTAATTTATTATTAGATAATTAAGTTGTTTTTAGAATAATTTTATTTTGTGATGTTCGATCCCCACCATATATCTGGTAGTACCGCATTCAACTTGTTTCTCAGCGCAGTGGCCTTGTTCAGCAAGGTTTGTGTTTCGGAGTTATAAAGTTGAGAGAGGGTTGTAACTATAACTAAAGTAGCCTCCTCAACTGTAGTGGCTTTTATGACCTTGGGAAGGTGAACTAAAATAAATAAAAAAATTTAAAAATAAAAAAAATAAAATATTATAGGCTATATTTGAACACATAGATGCTTAAATAGATTACTTTTATAATGCTTAAATAGATTACTTTTATGTATAAAAATAGAAAAACACAAAATAAAATTATTTTAAAAACAACATTATGGTAATAAAATAATAAGTACATTCAGCTGTTAAATTAAAGCTTGTAAACATCATCATAAGAATAAACAATATTGCCTGTAAACCAAGTCAAAATAAACAGGCTCTCAAAAAAAATCTAGGTAATGCATAAGGTTTAGTTTATTTATTATTTAAGTATTATCATAATGCAGAATAAATTACAAATATGCTATCGGTTGAAAAACCTGTAATTATGCTGATTCTGATGCTGATTCCGATTGTGCAAAATTAAGCCAATTAAGCCAATGCCAATTAATCAATACATCACTAGTACATACATTGACTGAAATAGGTAGAACATGTGAGGAGTGCTGTTAGATCAACTTGGGATATTGGAAAGGGGAGGCAATCTTTGAATTAAATCTTGATTTTTATTTTACGCTCAATTTATTTTAGATTTAATTAGGGATCTTACTATTGTGAGAGGATCTAATTTACTATAAAAAAATTTTAAAATAATAATTCTTAATACTTACATTAAAATTAAAACCAAAAATAAGTCTTACATTGAATGATGATTTGAGATGTGCAGTTTATACTGCCAGCATCATTAGTAGCTAAGCAAATGTAAGCACCTGCATGCTCTTTCTTAGCTGATAACACTTCAAACTCAATTTTATCAAGTGCATTAGAAAGAGTCATCCCGTCTTTTAATAATGTTAGGTTTGCTGCAGGTTTAGCTTCTGCACCACAAGAAAGTAAAAATTTGTCATGCTCATTAAAAGTATATACTGGTTGCAATTTGGTAATAAAAACCGGAAGAGCTGAAGAAAAAAATTATATAAAATTCAATACAAAATATAAAACAGTTAAATACTATAAATTTTTTAAATAAATATATTATGTATTATGTAAATATTATGAAAATATATAAGAACAGTTTTATTACTTATTTTTTATAAATGGTCAAAAGTTGGAAAAAAAAGATTAATAATATTTGTAAAAATAATTTAATGTTATAAAATGAAAAAGTTAATAATAATTAAAATATAATTAACAATTGTGAACAAAAAAAGGTTGTTTTAAATAAATATATATATACATTAATATACAACCCTCGAAATTAGGGTGGGCATTCGGCAATGCCAACCTAACTGCCAACCTGAAAGTGTTTGAGGTCGGTAAAAAATTGCCGACCTCAATTCTATGTTTTATGGTCAGATCTTTGTATCAAAAAATTTTTGCCGACCTGATGCTGACCTCAACAAGATTGAGATCGGCAAATTATTGCCGACCTCATTTTTCCTAATTACGAGGGTTGTATATATATATTTAAAGCAAATATAATCTTATTTTAAATATATATATAAAAAAAATTAATTGCATAATATACTGCAATGCTTTTTAAAAGGCATGGTTGTTGCAAAAAAAAAACTTAATTTAAAAAAGAGCGCCGATTTAAATAAGGAGAAGTTCGCAAAGCTCCCCAAGTTAGTTTTAGGAGAGCTTTTCTCCTCTCTCGTGCTCATTTATAACCACCTGAGACCTGTATATATATATATATATATATATATATATATATATATATATATATATATATATATATATATATATATATATATATATATATATATATATAATATATATATATATAAATATATATATTTATTTATAATATATATATATATATATATATAATTACTTTTTTTATATATATTTTTACAGCAAATATTGTTTTTTTTTTGCGAAAAAAATGCAGATTTTCCGCTAAAGTCCTCCGAAACAAGGGGGTAGCGCCGCCAAAATTTTTTTCCTTGAATAGGCCCTTTTTTTAAAAAAATAGATCGAGTTAAATTAAAACAATTTAAATGAAAAAATACAACTTTATAATGGTAATTATAAATAAAACTTTATAATGGCTATTATAAAATTGTATTTTTTTCATTGAAATTATTTTAATATATATATATATATATATATATATATATATATATATATATATATATATATATATATATATATATATATATATATATATATATATATATATATAACCCTCAGAATTAGGGTCGGCAGTTAGGTTGGCATCGCTGACCTCAATCTATGTTTAATGGTCAGACCTTTGTATCAAATAATTTTTGCTAAAATGATGCTGACCTCAAAAAGATTGTCGGCAATAATTTGCCGACCTCATTTTTCCTAATTCCAAGGGTTGAATATATATACTATTGACTATTAATTTGTAACACTATATATGTTACACTATATATGTAACATATATAGTGTAACAAATTGTTACCCTATATTTGTTACATTAATAGAAGCAACAATCTGCAAATCGCGCAAAAATAAAGAAAAATTTATTTCTGCGTCTTCTGCAAAAAGTCACAAAATTAAAATTCTATTTAAAATTTGAGTTGAGTTAATGAGTAAATTTTGAGTTAATTCTATTTCCACATTCTATTCACTGAAATCTATCATATTTATATATGAGATCAATTTAAAAAATTTTGGTCCAAAAAATTGAAAAAGAAAATATCAATTTCAGTTAGTAAAAATATAAATTTCAACTAAGAGTAATTGAGTTTTTTGTAGTTTTCTTAAAATCAGTTTATTTGGACTTTGATAATTTTTTAAAATTTTTGCAAATGCACTCCTCAATTTATCAAAGTCCAACTTAACTGATTTTGATGTATGTACTAAAGCCCACGGCAACAGGCTATTTCAGTGTGATGCCAGAGATGTTATCTAAACATGCATTTATAGTTACATATAGTATTTAAACAAAAGATATAGTTTCATTTGTAAACATAGGCCTGCTTTACTTATCTGCTGTAAATTTAAAGTTATTTAACCTTTGCGCAGGTGCGCCAACATAAAATAACAGCAAAGTTATAAATTTTCTAATAAAACGTCTATATACAAGCAATTGTAAGAATAACTCATATCTGTTCTGGAAATAATGTTTACAAAGTTAGTGGGAACATGATTTGCTTTTTATGTCTTAATATCTAGTCTGCAGCGTGCCATACGTGAATGAATGTGTTCAGAATATAGTTTACAAGGCGTGACTGAGAGTATAATTATCACGATAATTTTCATATGAAAATTAATTAGTGAGATAAAAAATTATGTTCATCAACATAATTAGTAGAACAACATTAAAACTTCATTAACAAGTAATGAAATGATGATAAGAGTATTTAGTAATTAGTCAGAGAAGATAAATTGTTTTTGAATTTCCAAAAATCCAAAAAATGTAAATATTTGATATTTTAATACTTTTTACAATAAATTGTTAAATGTAGGACTTACTGAATATTTTTTGTTGTAGATTGTGATTTTCTCACAATAAACACACTGAAAAATTAAAATGTTTTTTATATTAAAATATTTGTAAAAATATAATTTTTACAAAAATTAAGGTAAATTTATATTGTGTTCCGTTCTAGTGACATCAATATATATGTTGGTTCCTGAATATCAGTCCCACAACAACTTGCATTTTTAAGAAATTTTATTGTTTGAGAGATGTTTGTTCGAATATCAATCCCATAATACCTTATGCTTGAAAATTTTAGTTTTCAATGTATGGTTTAAAGTATGAAATGCTTGAAATGCCTATACAAAATGTTACAATATTAATAATTGTGAATTCTTTTATTTATGAAAACCTCAAAATTACAACAAGGTTGATGAGGAATGTTCCCTGTCAAGAATCTGGAAAAGGAAAAAAACTTGAAAAATTCACACAAAAAATGTTTCTTAAAGATCAACTTGTAAAGAATAGTTCCTTGCGGGGCAACCTTGAAGAAGTTGACAAGGAACCAGCATCTCCTGAGAAAGCACATTATCCAACATAATCTAGTTCGGAGAGACAGATTTTAAATAATGGCAAAGAAACATTTAATTGCAATTAGTTAAACATTTAAGTTACTAGCGGATAATATACGAATAAATACTGTAATAAGATAGACTTCTGCCAAATATGTGCTTATAACAAAAATTAGTTTAATAATGACAATTTTTTAATAATTTTTAGATAATGAAAAAAAAAAATAGAATGATGTAAAGAAAAAGTAATCTTTAAAAATAAAGTTTTTTCTACGGTCAGAATCAACCTAACTTTAAGAGCATAACTAATTCTCTCTTTTAGGCAGAATATTTAGGTTGATTTTTATTATTTACATCAAAATCAGTGGGAATAAAAGTCAAGTATTTATATACCTAGGGGCTATTCTAGACTGTTTTCGACAGCGTCAACCATATTTGGGTGCCGCCCAAATTAAAATTTGAGGACCATTTTTTTAAATGTTTTTTATGGCAACTATTGTTATTTTTGCGAAAAAAAACGCTGCTTTTCTGCTATAGTTTGCCGGAACAAGGAGGTACCGCTGCCCAAATTTTTTTTCTAGAATAGACCCTGACATCTTATACCACCTTTAGATTATCATGCATTGAATATAATGTTTTGTGTGATTTGGGTTGTATTCTCATTGAAATTCTGGTTCCAAGGTGGGAGTTGGTTAGGATGATACTCAGAATAAGTTTAAGAATTCTTTAGAAGGTAACAAGCTAAAAATAAGTGACTAAAATAGATAAAATATAACATATTAGTCAAAATTTACTTTTATCAAAATTTTATATAATTGTTTATATTTTAAAATATGAGCATTATACAAATTTTTTAGGCTTGTTTTGGGCTGTTGATGATTTAGCCTTCTACACAGTTTTTGGACACAGAAGTTTGGAAATTAATAAACGCACATTAATAAACACAGAAGAATATTAATAACGAAGAATATTAAAAACGCATATTAATAAACACAGAAGTTTGGAAATTAAATAAACGCATGCTGCCTTCAGACAAGAAAGAAGGTTTAATTTTATTCAAGGACAAGATTGAGGACTGGAAAAGGGTGATAAGAGAACTTGATGGTTGTTTTGAGCAAATTGTGAGAGCCAAATCAAGGAAGAGTATAAAAATCTTTTCTCTACAGGAAGCAAAAATATCAGCAACTTTTTTACATGAAAATGAAGTAAGCTTTGATGATTGTGATATTGAGTGTACTGATCAATGTTGTGATGATGAAGATTTTGAGATCCCCCTAATCTAAGTAAAAGAAAGCTGATAAAGGTCAGGTACTTATTCCGCCTAAGGATACAGTGTCAAAAACTGCTAGAACTGCAATTGGAAAGGGCATTTCTAACAATAAGGCATATGCACAACTTCTATTGTTACCAGTTCTAGTGAAAATATTGTTGATATTACTTTGTTCCTCAGCTCTGGTCGCATAATCTCTGACAAAATCATATGCAGCTATTTTGAGATCTAACTTGAGAGAAACGTTTAAAAACACTGGCAAACCAATTATTTTACATTTTTATAGAAAAATTATTGAAGATTTTACAGGTGCAACAGATGAGAAAAAAACCATGTGTCTTTGCAAGATGTATCAATGAGATATATTCTTGGTGTGCCAGGCCTGGACCATGAAACAGGAGAGACACCATTTTGAGCTATTCAGAAGTTATTGGATTGCTTTCTAATTGGTATGTTCCTTCATGGTCTACGTTTTGACATTACTGCTTCAAACACTGGTTTTTCAGGATATCTTGAGTTCCAGAACTTTGTCAAATATGTTGATATAATCAACGATTCATTCAAAAGAGCATTAAAACTCATTCAAGACAATGTGCAGCATTCAAGAGTGAACGGAAGCTACAGGACCTACTTCAAATGAAGAATGCTTAGAAAAAAAACAGGAAAAAAGTTAAAGAGAGTGCATAAAAGGAGCCAACTACTGTCATTGCTCCAACAGTA